TACAAAAACTACATATATATTTTTGTGAGTCCTAAATTTTCTGTGCCCCTCCCCATTTTTCAAACTTGGCCTTGTGGGGTCATATGATTTAATAAATATAAACAATAAAGTCTTCCAAAAATGCTTTATTTATTTGTTGTTGTTGTTTTTTTTCTAATATCTATTCTTAATTTCGTTTATGACTTACTTTTATCAGAGTTTACGACATTCGTTTAAAACAAAAAATAAACCATTAGTACACATATTTACTACGAGAAAAATATTGATTCCATTGCCATGCTACATTTATCAGTAAGCTTTAAAAAAAACATTTATTTTCAATCTATAGAATTTATCTAAGAAAGAAGAGATTGTTGTTGGCGCGAACGTTAAAAAGGAACGCACTTATTGATAATATAGAGAAAGTAATCACTACGTCATGACAACTTCTCCATAAATGAACTAAAAAATACTATTGTATTGTGTGTGTGTCTATTTAATATGCTATATGTACTGGTATATTTTTGTCCGTAATATATGTAATACTTTCTTATGCTAGAGAATTACGTTTATTGCACTGGTGACGGCAGGTGGCAGTGTAGTTGTTATGATGTTTCCAGATGTTTCATTAAAAAGTATCACAAAGCTATTTTTCGCTCCAATTTCATCAAGAGCATCTTAAATTTACCAGTAAATTGTAGAAGATTATTATCCAATTCTATCAGAGGTTTCAACGCCTGAGTTACCAGTTAAACGGGTTATTTCTTGATCATTTTGAGAATTTTTATTTTTTGCAAAATTTTAGAATATTAAAATTCGAAGACATTTCAATAACTTCAGTGAAGAAATATTTGATGTATTGAAATTTGGAACAATACGCCTCTGATAGCGAAGTAAACGATGGTTTTTTCATTGACGCCTTTTTATGGGGTTCAAACCCCATAAAAAGGCGTCAATGAAAAAATCTTTTGTACAGAGCCGCTCGAAACGAAAAACTAACTATAACTTGAGAAAAGTTATATTTTATTTTGATTTGACTTATAAGGCCTATTATTAAGTTATTAACGCAAATATAGACCTTTGTTAAAGATAACAAAGGTACTTTGCGACTTTTGGAGATTTGTTTCAACTTTGTCTAAGAGACATTTATTTGGAAGAGGTGTTTTTATTCCCAAGAATAGGAATTATTACCTTTGATTTGTTTGAATTGTTGACTCAGAGAGTCAACGTTTTATTTGGCAGTCGTTCGATGAGGGGAAGGCTGCCCCATTCTCGTTCTCTATTTAAAATGAGATTTTAAATAGATATTTATTTTAAATTTGATCTTAGCCTAGTTTAGGGGTTGTGTTTTTTTCTAATTTTCGGTTTCAGCTCCTAAGAAAGAGAAAAAGAATTTCTGAAGAAGAAAAAGAAATATATCTGAAGGGAAAAAAGAGAAAAAGAATTGTGAAGAAAATAAAAGTATCTGAAGAAATTGACTGTTAAAAGATTTTAATACAAGTTTTTCATTGTTAAAAAAAAAAAGAAAAGGTTGAAAAAAAAAAGAAGTTTAAGTTGTCAGTTTAAAGAATGATACATCCTATAAACTGACAAAATTTTTAATGTAAATCCTTTTGTTTATCATTGTTTGGTTACTGCTAATATGGGACAATATGCATGTAATTTTTGATTTATTAAAATAAATGTTTCTGTGAACAGGGTATATTTTGGTTGTTATCCAATAATTTTAAGATCCTCTGCTTCTTTGAGTTGTTTTTACTTTCCTATGAAGAAGCTGAGAACAAAATCGGCAGTATATAGTCCTGTGTATTGATACATTTATTTAAATCTATTAATTTGGGACTATTATTATTATTATTATTATTATTACTATTTTTTTCTTCATTTCAGATAATAAATTAGAATTTATGCGCTTCAAGGATTTATATTGGAATTTTCATAATTTTTATATCTTTCTTAGAAAATAATTTTAACCAAATCATAAAAATTCTGTTCTGATGTTAGTTAGCTAGTGTGGCCGACTTCCAGATCACGTCGGCGGTCACCAATGAAATGTGGCCGCCTTCACCACATTTATCTAACTTAGATTAGGAAACCAAACTGACGTGAAGAAAAAGAGGATAAGCCAAAGACATCATTACACATAAAATTTGTATTTAACAAGATGTACAAACAAGGATGTGAAAGAAAAGCATGCATTGAGTAAAACAAGAGTTGTCTCTCTTTAATTATCAATTGCTCCAAAGTTCACTGAAAGCAATAAGATTGCAATAGTTTCTGGTAATAAATGTTTTCAACAGTTTTGCTGGGGAAGAAAAATATTATGTGAGTATAGGGAATATTCAGCATGTGAGTGGTGGTGTGAGTGAGAAGATTGGCGCATGGTTTCAATTGTCGTAGATTTCTGTGGCATCTGAGATTTCACTGGTTTACTAAGAATTTTCTTTGCTTATATAAATGACCATCGGCTCCGAAAGCGCTGCGCGGGAAGAATCACTCTTAACGTGCAGACAATCTGATTGGTTGTCATTGACCAATTAGCGAGCGAGTTTTGGGGAGACTCACGAAAAGCTTCTGGGATCTCATTCTCCCAAAAGTGCACGAAATCGACTACATGAAAATATAGCGATTATAAAATTGTCGCATTAAACAGTAGTGTTGATTTACTATCCAATGAATGCTTGTTGTTGTATAATTTGAATTTGAATTTGCATAAGTATGTATGTATGTGCATGATGATGATGATCGTCACAAGTCTACTGTAGGCTTTGAGGAAGCTATGCCATCGTGAATTCGGTAATTTTGACAAGGTAGGAAAATTCGGTAACTGTGAAATAAAAGTCGATTGAAAATTGATTTTATGGCCGTTCTATATAGTCCCCTATATTTTTAAATAACTTTATGATCCAGATAAAACGCCAGTAGTACAATACCAGGGCCGTACTTGCAGATGCGGGGGCTTAGGGGGCTAGGACTCCTTCTCCAGTATTTTTTTTAAAGTATTATTTAACTATTATCTTGTGGAATCTTCCACAACAAGCCAGTTAACCCCTGTTAGGAAATGCACTATTCCTGCTGTAATTTTCACCATCACAATCTTACAAAATATATAACAAGCATCTATTGGTTAATCACCTTCAATCTAGCTCGCTGACTGTTCAGTTCCGACCAATCAAACCGCCTGCACGCGACAAATCTGTTTTACCGCGTTTTCCATCTGAGCCAGTCACGTGATTTACGATGATATATAAACAAAACTCTCTCTCTCTCTCTCTCTCTCTCTCTCTCTCTCTCTCTCTCTCTCTCGTCTCATTTGTCATTGGAGGGATTTCGCATTATTTATCATCTCTCAGTTGCGTCTCTGTCCTTGGACAGAGTGCGCTCAGGGGCGACTCCGTCAAAGGACAGAGTCGCAACTGAGGAAAATTATACTGAGAGGTGCCTGGCCCGGGGAATTTTTGTTCCTTGCCCGGGTGCACGCGCTCCCACATTAAACTGACCTTGCTCGGGCTCCCCACATTAAACTGACCTTGTGTCACAACCTGACCTCGTGTGGGGGGGGGGTCAAGTAAATACCTCGTCTCATTTGCCAAGAACTCCCGTCTTAACCTTTGCAGCCAGACGTTAAAGACCATTACCAACATTCACACAAGTACGAACTCTGAAATCTCTTCTGAATTTTTACCAACTTGTACAATACACAATTCCAAACATGCTAAAGAAACTTTATTCTTCTAAACTACAGTTTAATAATTACTTTCACTTTATGAACTTAGGTACAAATATTACCTAATCTAAGAGACACAACTCTGTCTAACCTTTTCACTCAGTATTCATGCATGTATATCAAACACTAATAAATTCAATTGTTACGTTTTTGAAACAAGATGTCTACGAATCTTTATTCTCTATCTTGTAATTGTTGTGGATGGAAGGTTATTGAACACACACAAATTTAAGCCTTCTGGTAATTCAAACCTTCTATTCCTCTCCAACACACAATCATCACACATCCACAACAGTCTGGTCTAGAGACCCCACTACAACAATACATTCTGAAGCCCCCTTCCAATACGTTTAAATAAGTATTAAATTTAAAAAATCATGTGTTCCAGTCCAGATAAAACCCCATTGCAACGATACCAGAGCCGTACTTTGGAGTGGGAGGGGATAGGTGGCTAAACCCCCGCTCCAATATTTAAATATTAATTACTGTGTTTTCATTCAAGCAAATAAAATCGATTTATTTAAGTTAACATTAAGTTCTTGTATCTTTTTTTTTAAATTATTAATTTAATAAAAGTAGTAAATTAAGATTTATAGTTATTTCTTTTTAAAAAAAAACTATGTCGCCTTATTTCTTTGAGATTTTTGTTGAAGAAATTTATTCATTCAAAATTTACAACAAATAACAATTAACTCAACTATATTACATTTTGTTTAAAGAAAACAAAACTAAACGAGAAGTAGCCCCTTTTTAAAAGCAAAATGAAAAAAGTAAAAAAACGATTTTGCACTTAAAATTGTTTGCATAGAAAACTGACATCCCTCAGAATTTTATCGTTCGGTTAAGAGTACATGTTGCTGATAAATATAATTATAATATCCTGAATTTTTTATCAACATAGGTTGTTAAAAATTTTATTCTGAAAATATTAACTTTCATAACTCAATTTGTTATAGTTTTTTTTTTCTTTTACTTAAAGGAGATGGAAGTGGGAAAATAAAACCTATCCAATTCTCTTTGCGACTGCTGTACACTATTATTACAACATTTGTAACTCTTAAAACTGGAGAGTTCTTTGTCCGCTGTTACTGCCAAGATGTAAATATAACGTTATTTATTTACCCACTTACTTATATTGCGAAAGAAAGAACTTTCTTTCTATTTACATTTAATAAATGAGATACACTTCCTCACTTACTGCATGGTGATGTTGACGAACGATTGGGAACATTCTATCATTTTTGTAGATCGTCTACAAACTCGATAACGAAGGAGTTTAGCTTCTCTCTTCCACATGGTAAAATTGGTTTTATTTTTTTCTTACATTTTAAACGCATAACTTTCTTAATGCTTTGTTATCATTGATTATAATTTGACCTTTTCTCTATACCTTGACTTTTTTTTGTCCTCGTTTGACTTTTTGCTTGTTTTGAAACCTGACTAACCTTTCCAATTTAAAGTAGAGACACTTGATGATGGTGTAAGTTTTGACATAAAAAACATTTTATAAACAATTCCTCTTTCACTGTGAATGACTAAAAAAGAAAAGTAAACGGAAATTAAAAAAACTATTGTTACTACTACTTAATCGGTTGCTAATTGTTTAGGAAATATGACTGAATCTTAAAAAATTCAAGATATTAATTAACTTTTTTGTTAAAGAGCTAATTCATCTGATATAAGTTGAAAAATTATAAGCACAACACTAAATTTATGTTTGAAACCTTTTTTTTTTCTTTGTAACTAAAAGTTACAATTTTTGTCAAATTTTTAATGATTTCTACACACACACATATACCCTAAAGTTTATTTTGTATGATCGTCATTCGATCTTTAAAATTGATTCAAATTTTAGGGATAAAGTTTAAAACTAAAAAAATATTTTTTTTTAGTTTATTACGTTGGGAAAGTACTTTGTTTTGTTTGTTTTTTTAGTTAAAATTTAACTAAAAAAAAAACAAAGTACTTTACCAAAAAACAAACAAAAAACTTCGTCTCACTTCTTTGTGAACAAAAAGCTTTTAATCTTTGTTTTCAAATTGAAGAGAAATATAAAAGATTTTCAATTTAAAAACCATGCAATTCTCCAGTCATGTTTTTTTTTTTTTGTTTTTTTTTTTCTCTCTCCCTTCATTTCATTCCCTAATTTAACATCACTACTGTACTACTATTTGATCTTTTTTTTTTTCTCGAGATTCTATTCATTTTTCATTTTAAAAAAATCTGGAAAACCATTTGGTGTTAAAAAAACAGTATTTATTTATTTCTGGAAAGTGTATTTGAGTAAATTATTTACTCAAAGTCAAAATAAATATTTGTTTTTTTTTTAACCCATGTGATTTAGATTTATTTACTGTAAATAAATAAATCTAAATCACATGAGTTAACAAATATATCTTCTCACAAAATATTCTGTGTGTGTGTGTAACATTCATTTGCGGTAATTTCTAAATGTTTGTTGACTGAGGAACAGATTTTTTTAAAAAAAATGTGATCATGTGTTTGTTTTTACGCTCACACACTCACTCACTCAATTTGCTGTCACTAAATAAGAGGGGGGGACTGGTACAAGACAAGAATTTACATATTTTTAGTCGGAATTTTATCAATAATTTTACGGTTACTGACTTCTAGGATTTTTTTTTTTTATCTTTGGACTGATCCCGTTTCCTGATTCCACCGAATTACATTGAAAAAAACGAACAAGAGGTGATTTTTTTTTTTTGAGCAGAGCAGTATTATGTGTATTTTTTTGTTGATGGTTTCAAAAAATAGCCAACAAAAAAAAAAAAGGAGATAAAATTCATAGGCAAATAATCTGATGATAAATATCGAAGTCTGAACTTAATGTTCAGTTGACTGAATATTAAGTCCGGACATATGCATGAATTGAATTGAAATTAATTATTGTATGTGCCCTTTAAAAAGCCAGCATCATTACAAAATTTTTCTTTTTTTTTTTTCTTTTTCTTTTCAAAGTATTATTGATAAAACTTAAAAGCAACATCAGTTGACAATTGACATTATTTTCTTTTTGAAATTTACATTATTGAAGATTCCTGATTAATTAATTCCTCATAAAAAAAAAAAAGAAATCAAAACTTTAATAAATATCTTTCACATCTGAATATTACTGTTCATTACAATAAACGAGGAAGTGAATTTGTTTTTTATGAAAACATTTGTTGTTGAATAAAAAATAATATTCTAAGTGCGGCAGAGATACCTCACACATACGACATTCTCTCTAGCTAGAAGAAGACACGATCACTGCCACTAAATAAATGAAATTGAAATGTTTTATGTGTGGGGGGGTATTTCTGCCACACCCTGTGTAGAGTGAAAGAAACTTTAAACATATTTCTTTTCTTTTTTTTTCTTTTCTTTTTTTTTTTTTTTTTTTTTTAGCAATAAATTACTTTTTTAAAGTTTCTTTTTATTTTGAACTATGGTTTGGTTCGTTTATATGAAATTAAAAATCGATGCTAGAATTTTTTTTTTTTTTTTTTTAATTGTGGTTCTAACATGGAGATACTACTGCTTTCTTGTCTGATCATTTTTTTAAATAATGTTTTGGTGTCACAGCCTCCACAACTTTGATCCGAAAAGATGTGTCAGTGATGTTGTTTGTAATGTAGTGTATGTCAATAATAATTTGTTTAAAAATTTGTATGTTCTTTCCTGCGTGCTAAGCTAAGTTTATGAGGCTCATTAATTAATTCAATTATAAAATTTATTGTAAAGCATTCACTTTAATTTTTTTTAGTTTTTTATTTTAAAAGTTAAGCCAACTTTATAGTTGGCTTAAACTTTCAAAATCATAAATATCGCTTTTAGTAGTTGTATGAATGCTGTGTATTCTAGTATTCAAGTCTATAAGTAGTTGATTGATTTATAAATGATGTTTTAATAAAATAAATCGATAATAAAAGGAAGAATAAGTGATGTACAAATTTCCCTCAAGAACTGACTTAATACAGAGAAAAGTGCTGATATTGCAAAAGTGTATTTTTCTTTTTGACCTTGAATTTTCATATTTCATTTCATCAAATATGCCATTGTTGTAATTAAATGTCATTTTACTATTTTACTTATGATATGAATTATCTAATTTTTCTTATAGCATCTTGCTTTTCATCAAAAAGTACACATAATTTGAGAATTTTATTTCTTCAACTACTTAGTTTGTGATTGAGTTTTTATATTACCTATTGAGTTTTTATTATAGTTTTCCAAAAATTCTTGGTATGGAATTCAGATGATTGTGAAAATGCAAAATTAAAAAAATTCTTACTTTTCTTGCGTATGTTGACAAATGAGTTTCAAAAATGCAATGTTTTCTTTATCTCTCTCCTTTATCTACCTACAGAAATAGGTTATTTCTTTTCTAATTCATCATTTTTACTGAAACCATGGTTAAAATTTGCCTTACCAGAAAAAATGTTACCTACTCTACTTGAATTTTAACAAAATAGTCAAGAAAAGAAAATAGAAGAAAAAAAAAGAATACTTTAATTTCTTGAATCAAAAAATATAAATTAACAATTCTAAATAAAATTTTAATCCAGGTAAAAGTTAGATAATATTGCTACTTTATCAAATAGATTTGATATAAGCTCCATATCAATGTCAATTTACTAGAAAATCATTCCTGTTGCTATTGATTTTAGTTTCTGTTTCTGTCCTGAGTCTACCATTTTTTTCCATTAAAATGCAAAGTTTTTATCATTTATGATGTTGCTTGCTTAATTTTGAAAGTTTAGATAAAGCATGAAAAATTCAAGTCTACACAAAATAAAGTAGTAATAAAGAAAAAAAAGATTAAAAAACTGTCTCTTGTGACAAGATTCTCAAGTTACATAAAGGCTAAACTTTCTGATGTGTAATGAATATCTTAACAACTTTTTGTGTTTCACCTATTCTAAATCTGAAGGACAAAACAAGACAACATTAAATGCCTCCACCACATTTATCTTTTCTAAGTTTTGATAAGCTATTTTTATCAGAAAATGTATTGCATAATCTGTATATGATGATACTTGAAATGCTCCTCTGTTTTTTCCTATAACGAAATAAAAAAAATTGCTAATAAGTAAAAAGAATAAATATAATAAATACTAGCAGGGATATCTGGCATTGCCTAGGAAGAAAATCAATTGTAACACAGGAGGAAAAATACATTATTTATCATATGTCTTCAAGCACAACACATTAAATGGAGAAAAAAAAAATTTATCACATTTATTAGGTTGGTGCAAAAATAATGACGTAATAATGTCGTTTTTGACGTTAAAATACGTCAAAAACGACATTATTACGTCATTATTTTTGCACCAACCTAATACATATGAGAAATATATCTTTTGCTGAAAAATATTCTGATACTCCAAACAAATGATTCTGACAAGGTTTCTGGATGTCCTTATCCCATTGGGTACTCATATGAAAAGTTTGATTAGATATTCAATTGTATAAAACACAATATAAAACCAACCATTGGCAAAGCCTAGAGAAGTTAAATAAAAGCCAGTTATCAATAATGTCCTGCATTGTTGATGATGATGGCAAAATGGAACCTCTTTGTGAAGTGAGCCCAAAAGACAAGTCTGTTGGAATTGTCAATATCCTGGGAATGAACACATGAAATTGCTTCATTTTACTAGAAATAGTATGTTAGGTTATTTGGTGAGGTCTAGTGACTTTAAATGACTTCCTAGGTCAACCTCTCATAACATATGTTACAATTAAATGTCTTGAGTTTTCATGCCAAAATTTAGGTCAGTAGGCCTTGACACTTTTTTATTTTTTACAAATATTCACTCAATATGAGGTCCAATAATTACTCAAAGTAGATAATTACTGAATGAATTTGTTGTATGGATGTTAGAGAAGATTATAAGAATATGTAGGATAGATAATACTTGACCCTAGACTTGGAGAGATTAAAGATGTAAAACATAGACAGAAGCTTTCAATTTTAGTACAAGATAAAAAAACATTTTATTTTTCAATTCTTACTAAGACACCTGAGATGGAGAATTTAAATCAAAAAGAAACTCAATATATTTTTAACTATGATCAGTTTGTGCCAAAGTAATTTAGTTGTGACAGAATTTTGTGTGGATTTCTGAAATGAAGAGTTATCATTATTTACAAGCAGACTACTGTAATAACAACAACAAAAATGAGGACAATAGTCTTTACATAAATAATAATCAAATTTTCTTTAGATTATTTTAAACCTACTATTCATGAGAAATATTTAGTATGCAAATCAGGAATTATAAAAGCATTCTT